GTATAGTGAAATAAAGTAAATATAATTTTAGGTACCTACTTACAAGATGGTTTAACAGTGAAATGGGCTTTAACATGATTTTAAAAACCTTTTACATTTTAATCTATTGTAATTGTAATTTCCTCAATACTGTAAGTGAATAAACTACAGAACCTTTAATAACTAAAGTTGTAAAAGAACTTAAAGTTCTGTGAAAAAGTGCATGTGAAACATCACACTTGTGTTTAGGACAATCTGACCTCCTAGGTGTACGTATTTTTCCGAGTACTTGGCAGGAAGTTTGTTTTTGTTCCAAGAATCGGCTTCATTCTTCTGTGTAATATAATCCAAGGTTATGGGATCAGGGCTCTGTGGGGGTCAGAACTCCTTGTTCTTATTGTCTGATGATAATTCTTTGAGTTTAGCTGTATGTTGGCACTGATTTTGGAGCTGATGAGATGACTCACTGATGGCTCTGAAATACAGATATAAATCTTATCTTATATCCACCTTATTAGCAGATATGATGTCCATAAACTGCAAAGTACCTCTACCAGAGCCTTTACCTTGCCTGTAGACTCTCATCTCTGCAGTACTCTTTAGCCTTTAGGCAATCTGCTTCAAGTTGGAGCCAAATACTTTAAACTTTGATTCATGACTCCAGAGCATCTGGCATGTTTTTACACAGATTCTAGTGTTTTTTGAACTTAGGTGAGTCATTTGGCTTTTGTTTCCACATTAGAGAAACAGTTTTTGGTTCTCAGTCTTCCAGTAAAAAAAACACTTCAGACCAGACTATAGATGGGTATGCCAGGGTCCCACTGGTTTCTGACAGTTCTCCGCTTATGGTACTCTACATTATGAGATTTTAAAGAGAAGTTTTCTTAATTTGTCCTTCGTCTGTTGCTTTCAGCTAACCGCTGTGTTGCTGGTACTCAATTTTAATTTTTGCAATAAAAAAAGGTATTTGAAAACATCTGTTTCCTTGAAAAGTAAAGCTTTTTTAATTGATTATTTTAACAAAAGCACTATTTCCATAAATATCTGCAATAATGTCTTGATGCATGCTCAATCATCCAGGTAAGCAAATCCCAAAAGGTTGATTCTGTTTTCAGTGGGAGAAACGTTTTGTCACTCATCCAAGTGACTTCTTTAGTCTCTCAGCTGACTGCAGGTTTCCCCAGCCCCTTAAACAGTACATTTGCACACAAACAGAACCTAGACCGCTTAATGAACAGTAGGCTGTGTGGTCAGTTCCTTAATCATTAATATGCAAATTCTCATGACCATTGATCAAGAAGAAGTCACTTGGATGAAACGTTTACCCCATTGAAAACGCTACGTCCAGATGAACAGAATCAACCTTTTGGTATCTACAGTGATATATTTCACGGGGACACCAATGAAGAAGACTCAAAATAACCATGAGTAACAAACAATTTTATTTGTTATGATTTTATTATTTTATTTACACGTTTACACTCTGTCTGGCTCCATTCAGATTAGTTGCAAAGTGCCCTCTGGTGGACAAACTATAAAATGTCAGCACTAATTATTGAAATGTTGAAGGGTGTTTCTCCCATCTTTACTTCTTGGATTTTTCATTTATTGGCCATTTTAAAAGTAATACCAATAAATCGTCAAATATCTGATATGGACCGATAATACCCGCCCACTGATAAATCTGTTGGACTCTAATGCAAACAGTTTGAAATCAGCATTACTTCTCTCAAACAGGCCCAAAGAAACCGGAACAGCAACCACACGACGACAGACCATTCGCCCGTTGAACGTCGCAGTCTAGTGCCTGCCGATGAGAACTGCCATAACGAGCGGGCACGGAAGAATCGCAACCGTCTCTCCTCAGGCTCACAGCACAGCAGGGACCACTCTCCTCTGGTGGAGGAGGACTACCAGGACCCCTACCAGGACTCTTATAAGCCCCACCGTAACCGAGGATCCCCGGGAGGCTACAGCCAGGACTCCAGGCACCGGCTCTGAGCTGCTGTTAACAAAGTATAGGCCTGTGTCTCTTTAAGCGACCACCGTGAACACAAGGGGAAAGTTTGCTATTACATGATAAATCTCTTACATTCACGAGGACTGAAACCACCTTTTATTTTGTGTAGTACCTCATATCTACTTTGGCCTTGGCTCCTGACAAATGAGCATTTGAACCCAAAAATAAGAATCCTGCTCTTGCTTTGATGTGAACAAGGTACTGGATATGAAAGTAGCACAAGATCAGTAAAGTTATATTTAAGAGGGAAAGTTGGGCATTTTTTTGAATATGTCACCATGTGAGGTATGACATGTGAGTGAAGTAAACTAGGCCCTTCTGGACCATTCCCGCTGTCTCAGCTGTTACTGTAGCATGCAGGTAGGACTGTAATTACAGGGACCATCTGACTCAGGCCAGTGCCAGACAGCATCCAGCGGTGATGATCAGCGCAGAACTTGTTTGCACAGGTCCAGGAGATGGTAGAAGGAGAGTTTAATGCATCTTTAATGTGCCGCTGTCCTTGATGTGTGTGATAAGTCCTGTAAAGCTTGCTCCCGAATCCTGAGTTTTACAACTGTTGTTTTAAAGTGACATGAATGGCTAATTCAGGGTTCATGCAGTAGCTTCCTGTTCCCTTTCTTTTTAAACGCTGTTTTTGTCATAAATCATATGACAGAAAAGGAGAAAAATCATGCAGATACTAATACATTTCAAAGCTCCACAACCTCAGGAATGAGAGGTCAATTAGACCTAGAAGTGTAGCGTTTATGTTCTCACCCCTGATGGGAGTGTGATTCTGAGAGTTATGTTATTTTTGTGATTTTATGGTTTTGTTTCTTGGAAAAAAAAAGCTGTTTTTCCAGCACAGAAGTCTTTAAAATGGTCACAACAGCGCATTTCTCACATGCCATGCGTCAATCAACTGCTGTTGTTGGTCATGGGTTTCGTAGGACATGGATTAAGCATGACTTTGGGTTTTTGTGAGTGATTTATATTGAGGGCTTCCATATATAATACACTGAAAAATAATCAAAGGAAAGAAATTTTAATTTGTGTGAAGTTCAATTGCCAGAACAATAAATTACATTCCATTTATGTCATTTTATATAAGAGCCTTGCTTACACCCTCCAACCATCAGAGAAAAAATATATTAGTAAAAGGTTTTATAAAGTAAAGTAACACTAAACACTTTCCTTAAGTAGCAATTTAACATGCACCTCTTCTATATTGTCATTTACAGCTTTTCTGTGTATTCTCCTTGAGTTTTATTAAAGACTACTGATAAGTAAGAAGCTGTCTAAAAGCACTTGGGCAGGACTGCACTGCCTTTGTTAATAGTGTCATTTACATGCTACTTTTATGGAAATGTTGAGCAGCCAGTTCTCCCCCATCTTTCAATTTATATGTACGCTACCAGCTAATATGGGATTGAATAGCATTACCTTTTACATGACATATCCTTGTATATTGTATTTTAATATTTAGATATTGAAAAGTTCTGTTTTATTTCAGGTCATAGACCAGAGATCTCATTGTGCTGTGATTCTGGAGAGGGAAGTCTGACGAGCAGGCTTCCGTTCTTATTTTCTTTACACAGTAGCTTTTATTGTTGTAGTTTCAAAACAGTGGAGCATAAGCAGTGATTTAAAAGATTTGAATACTGCCTGTGAGAGAATGATGCATTGATTAGAATTTGTGTGCACTGTCATTTTACAACTGTAATGAAATAAACTGCTGTTATGCTGTTGTATGGATACCAGTGGGGTTTTTTTTGTTTTTTGCTTATAGAAATATTTATAAAAAATAATTTACCTGTTACTGTATTTAATAATTATTAAACCTGTTGTGTATGAAGTTTTCATATCATATCATATAATATAATAAATGCTTTTCCTTCCTTATAGCTCTCCATAAGATACTAGACACGCATGCGCAAGATTGACAGCGCAGGGTACTACAACAGCCAGCTGATACGAACTAGCAAGTGACAGTGTTAAGCGTTTTCGGGTTTGTTTCATACAGTAAATCAGTCGTCGGACCTACATTTTCACCCCGTAGGTCATGTAGAGTAGAAGTCAGTTCATATAAGTATGGCAGTTGTATTTGAATGCTTTGACAGGTCATCGTCGTTGTAGTTAGCAAGTTAGCTAGCTAGTTGAAGTTGGCAGGACTGAACAACAAGGCTGGCTAGCTAAGCTACATCGAACTGTTACAAGCTGGCATCGAAATTCATCACCGTCAGCCATGGGAATACTATTTACAAAGTTATGGAGGCTTTTTAACCACCAAGGTAAGAATGGTGCTGCGGCATTCATCATGAAACTGTCGAAGGTGTAGGAGCTAAGGGGGCTCCGTGGTCAGAGAAGGCCCGCTGGTCTATTCTCTCATAATTAGCCGTGTAACCAGTTTCTGTCCCTAACGGGACGTTTATTGTTTCATTATTGGTATTGTCGGTGAATTTAAAAGTTGCCACATGGTTTACCGTTTATATTTAACGTTATGGTCAGCATTTCACCTATGGACCGGCGAAGATGATAGTTTTTCTGCGAACATGGCGCTCCATTTCTGAATTAACTTTGTGTTAGATTATTTATGCTCTCGGGTTCTAGATAGGATAGGCAAAACCAAGTAGATTCCCGGCTAGTGATCATGAATCAGTAAACAGGTCCTTGCGAAACCTCTGTAACCTGAACCCCGAGGTACAGTGTGATGCGGTGTTAAGTCGGGGTTGACACCGGCATTGAGACTGGAGATGGCTACACCGACAGAGCACACTGAAGTCAGCTACATCAGCAAAATTCTCCAGTTAACAAGGCGATTGACTTTAGACTGAATCACACTGACTTTGTACTGCCAGTGTGATTACTTAATCTTATCAGATTAGTGTCAGGAGTTTTCTGATAGGTGACAAATTAAAGGAAGAATCTGAACCCTTGACACCTACAGTAAGGGGATCCAGCAGCTCTGTTGGGAACCGTTTCGTTGGCGAGTTGTGTGGGTTCGCTTGTCCACTTAGAGGGAAGGATCACAGCAAATACATATGTTCTGAGTGATCACACTTATCCTGCGATAAAACAGGTCTAACCAGATGGGTGTGGTCTCTTCTGTAGGGGCACAAAGGATCATTAAATACTTTAATGTGTATGAAAATAATGTGAATCATAACATCTTTGCAGTCACCTAGCTTCACTCTAACTTAAGTTAACTTAACACATATGGGAGACTTTACACTGATGTGTTAGAGAATGTCGTCATGTACACAAAAAAGTAATCCCTGTAAGGAGTAGTGTTTTAATTATCTGCCTAATGGCCAGAAACATGTAGGAGTAATGTCAAGATGCATATAAGCTGTTTTGTGGCCAGACAATACTATAATAATGCATCTGAGTGAGAGGACCAGACATTTGCCATTTGTTCAATTCTAAATTATGCTCTTATTTTCTTGTACCCATCCTGTCCCTGAAGCCTGAAAAGCTTTTATTGTTATCCCTGGATGTAGCCTCAGAGCTGCGCTTCCAAATCTCAGAAGTCTTACCATTTACCCAGCTGACTGAGACAACCCAGTGGAAGAGCAGAGGCACATTAACATACATGACATGTGATTAGACATTACAAACTTGGATGTCTGGACTGTTTAGTGTTAGTTGGCATGAAAACAACCTTGTTCGCAGTATTGGCTTCCAAGATTGCAGTATTGACTTAGCCCTTTGTTTTAGAAATTGTCTCAGGCCATCCTATATTCTGGGTGGGGTTAAATTTGTGCAGACAGTAGTAGTGGGATTTTTTAAGTTCATCTAGATTTTAAATATACTAAAGGTTTTTAAATTAAATATTTACTTCTTCCAATCCCCTCTCCTTTTATGCTATTATAAAGTAAAATAGCTACCTTTCAGTTATGCATAGTAAGTTAGGCCGCACATGAAATCTGAAGATGTCACACCACCTTTAACTCAGACAAATTCTGGCTGGTGTTTGGCTGAATGTTAAGACATTTCTTAAGCCAAACAGTTAATAAACACACATGTGGCAGGCCAATTTAAAACAATGGCAGTTGTCTTTTGGGTGACAACCACTGTGCAGGCCACATTTAAAGAGACTAACGGTTTGCTTTGTAAGAATATGTGCAAGTAGCTTTGCTCACATCTGTGTGACCTTTTTAGTCTACGCACAACAGTCCCCTGCCCTTGCCTTCTTTCAGCTTTTGTGCAGTAGACAGTATAGTAAGACCTATGAGTTCTGTTATGGAAATAAGTGTCTTCTCAGATCTGTTTGCAAAAGTTTTCGCTTCCTCAGTTTTGAGGTTTTAGTTTTAGTTTTGTTAGCTGAAGGCTTAGCTGTACGTGATTACACACTGATTATGGACTTTTTATGATTTCCTTGAATTACAAGTTGTTTTGTCAAAGGTTAGTTTGGGGATCCATGCAAAAACCGAGTGTGGTAATAGATCTAGATACAATAATATGATATAATAGGCATTCCTTTTCTTCGCTGTCTTCCAAAAAATATTCCAGAGCACATAATTTATTTTCACCTTCCCTAGTGTAAGCAAATGAACGCTTTCTATGTTCTGTGTTCTTCAGCATAACAGATTATAGATCATGTGTGCTAAAAGGCATAGGAGTATTTAAAACTTAAGAGCCAATAGGTCTCAACCGACAGGCTGATGCTGATATTTGTCCATTTATCCAGTTTAAATGAAATGTTATAGCTTTTAAGTGGCTGTTTTATCTCATGATAGCAGTTTATTCAGAGTAACACCGGTTGGGTTTTCCATGTACATTTACATAAACAAAACTTTAACACGCTGTTCGAACATACAGCTTGTACAGATAATGCTGTAGTTGGAAGAGCTGCAGTAGGGCTGGGCGTTATGGCCCGTGTGGAAGCACGTGTGGATATAGATGATATATTCTTTTCTTCTGTATAACGTATTTTCAACACTATAAGGCACACTTAAAATCCTTTAATTTTCTCAAAAATCGAGTGTGCCTTATGTATGAATTCTGGTTTTGCTTTTAGTGCTCGAACCGATGTTGGCGTGCAGAAACCTGTAAAAAATGTTTTAGTACAACTTTGGTAAGCCGCACTGCTTGATGGATTGTCAGAGCATTACGGCTGCCGTAGTGAGGAGCTTCGCGGAGTAATCTGGGTCCAAAACTCCGTCTGCTTCAGGTCCCAAAGTCAAACGAACACTGAGAGTTAAAAACAGTCTAAAGTCTTTAATCTTTAATAAAATCATCAGCGATGCTGTTTTACCAGGTGTAACAATTAAGTTTAACATCCAGGCATCCATGAAAACAGAATTTATTAAATTTAACGGAGTTAGAAGTTATCAGGAAGTTAGCTCGCTAGTTTACACCTAAACATTTTATATCATGTTCTGACTGAGAGATTTTTGAAACTAATTAAAACGTACAGCTCTGCTACCACTTCAACATAAATGAAGACAGAAAACTAAACAGCAGTGGCGTTTGCAGGGTTACTGAAGTTGGACTACCTGGTATATAATGTTGTGCTACGTGATTGCTAGCGACACAGCTATGTTAGCATAACATTAGCACAGTGAAGCTGGAGGATGAACGC